AAAAGAAAAAAAAAAAGCAGACACCAAAAGTTATCAGGGAAAAAAATGACCATTAAAAAACAGCGTCCTGGGCTGGTGCTAGCAATCCTAGCTACTCAGGAGGTGTGATCTGAGGTTCAAAGCTGGACAAGAACGACTCTTATCTCCAATCAACCAGCAAAAAGCCAGATGTGGAGCAGTGGAAGAGTGCTAGTCTTGAGTGGAAAAGCCTAAGGACAGCTACTAGGCCCTGAGTTCATGCCTCAAGTTCAAAAACCCACAAAAACTAAAATACAATAAACAGACTCCCGATCTTAAGAGTGCCTGTGAGGTGCAAGGCAGAGACCAGGTGCACACTCTCATAGCCCAGGGAAAAAACAGGGCCACAGCCAGACATGGCATGGATAAACCTAAGGGGGATGTAGAGACTATTACAAAGAGGGCCAGTTAATCTATTAATAAGCAGAATAGCAGCATTAATAATAAAGCTCCCTATGCCCATGTGTCTGTCGAAGCTTTAATGAAAATATCATCAGTCCTTGTCGAAGCCAACCTGAGTGAGACTGGCAGCCAGTGTGCCTGCCTACATTTAGACATGGAAAGGAGCATCCTTGCTTTGCCTGGATGGCAGCACCTCTCCATCTGATCAGCCCCTTCCCTGCTGTGTGGAGTTGAGCTACCGCAGGGGTCCAGGTGGCTGACTGACAGCATCCAGGGGGCTTGTTCGGACTTATTGATACAGGAATCAACACATCAAGTGGTAAAAGTAACTTTACTGATTCAGCTCCTCTACTCTCAGGAGCTGGCAAAGGACCCCTCCAACTGGGCTAAGCCTCTGTAGCTCTATGTGGTCTACTACATAGGGCCTCAAGAACCAAAAGAAAATGGGACTTCCACAGATTCTGCTAGAGACTTCTCTTTAAGTCCTATGTTGGCCGTTGAAGTCAACTAGAAACAGAAAAAGTGGGAAGCACGTATCTCAACTAGGATTTCCATCCTAGAGGCAGATGCAGGACCTACCTTGTACAGAAAGGAACAGGAAGCCCAGTACCTTCCTCCTTTCCTGTGGTGGAGACCTCTACAGGTGGTACCAGGCCTTACTCATTCCCCCTCCCCCCCCCCCCACCTAAACAGCTGTCTTCAAAACAGCACTCAAGAGGGCGGGACTCAAAGGCCACACACAACATAGAAATGTATTTTGAGGTGGGGGCCAGTGGCTCCTGACTGTAATTCTAACTATTCAGGAAGCTGAGATCTGAAGATCACAGTTTGAAGGCAGCTGGGCCAGAAAAACTTACAGGACACTTACTTCCCACTAACCAGCAAAACAGCTGGAAGTAGAGCTGTGGCTCAAATGGTAGCATGTTAGCCTTGAGCCAAAAAAGTTAAGGTACAGGGCCTGGACCCTGAATTCAAGACCTAGTACAACACCATAATACAACACTTGGTTCTTGGATAGTCTATGGCTATGACTGGTCCTCTCAGCTGCTCATCTTCCAGCTCAGAACCCCCTTGGATAAACTTTGTCACTGAGATGAAGCTGGCCCAGGAGGGAGCTCGCCATCCTTAAGCTAATAATACCAGTGTCCTCTCAGTCACTGTGACTCGGAGGGTAACTTGGCCACTTACTGTGTCACCTATTCAGAGAATGTTCTTTAAAAACAACTTCTCCAAGGTGACTGAGCCAGAAGCAATACCATTTCCTGAAATTCCATTCTTAAATTCCATTCCACTCTAACTCTTAAAAATTCTAATGTATGTATGCAGTTCTCCCAGTGTGGCAGTGTGGATGAGGATATGTGAGTGGCCAGTTCTTCCCAAAGCCGTATCTCTCTGCGAACTGCCAACTGCTTGATCTGTACCCCTGGCAAGGCCTATTCCACAGCCTCCAGGCCTATTCCACAGCAGAGAAGGCTTTCAAACCCACCACCCTCATACCAACATAAATGTGCAAGAATTCTGCGTGTTTGATGATCCACATGGCGTGAAAAAGCCTTTTGGCCATAAAGCTCACACCTGTCATCCTAACTACTCAAGAGGCTGAGATCTGACGATCACAGTTCAAAGCAAATCCATGAGACACAGCTCCAATTAACCACCAAAAAGCTGGAAGTAGAGCTGTAGCTCAAATGGAAGAGGATCAGTGTCCAGGCACTGAGTTCAAGCCCCTGTACTGGAACAACAACAACAAAATCCAAGTTACGAAGTGACCAAATCACTTTGGCCAACCCGAAAACCTATTATTCCTGCCTCCACCAGGGCTACCTGTTGCATTCGCTGCCCGAAGGTCCAGGCCCACCTGATATTCTTTTTAGACCTGGGCTGTTCCAAGCAAGCTCAGGAAGTCTCCGAAAAACAGCAGATGGCAAGAGAGAGTAAGTATGAGACACTTCTGTATTATATAACACAACCTCCTAAGCACAGGGCTGGGAAACAGCTACTGGCCCCTCATTCCTAAGCCAGTATTCCAAACAGACCAAAACAAAGATGACTATTACAACTGTATTTGATAACCAGTATAAGATCTTGTTTAATCAATGCTTTGGGACACAAAATACCTCGAAGCACCCAGTCAGACCCTGTGGGACACAAGGTAGAAACTCTCTTTTCTGGATCAGATCAGTGTGGAAAGTACCGGAGACACTCACCCATACCCAGTTCACCTGTGTCTACTCAGAAATACTAAATACTAAACACCTGAGTGTTTGTTGCTGGAGTAGTATCCTGCTCTTCTAGGTGGGGGGCACCAGCTGCTAGAGTGACAGCTTGTAATGTTTCCTTTCCAGTTCTGCAATGATCTACGACCAAGCTCAGAGCGAGGTCCACTGGCAAGAGATGCTAGACATCCAGCCTCAAACAAAAACAACCTGAATTTAGCACTGATATTCGGAGATCGTTATTACCACAGTATCATCTAACCCCTGCTGCAGACACAGCATTGCTTAAAAAGAGAGAGACCTGCAAAAAGTCTCTCCACCCCTAATCTGTTTTCTGAAGGAGGTAATACCAAAAAGTAGAATTCGTCTCAAAATTGAAAGGCATCAGGGACTAAACACCTTGAGTTGAGAAGGAGAAGGTAGGAGCAGGACAGACTGGAAGAAGTGAACGCCGAAGACCTCCCAACCATGGTAGGATCACCCTGATCCTGTAAGATTCCGCTGACGAGTTCAAGGACTATGAAGAAAAGGCTATCACAGGCTGACCCCAGACCCAGCCACTCAGATAGCCAGAGCTCCCCCTGAAAAGAGGCATTCAAGCAGAGGATGTATCAATACACCTGCCTCCTCAGAAGCCCTATGGAACCAGTGACACTCAGGCCCCCATTTCTCCGTCTTCTTGTAAGCGTCCTGAAGGTGATTCACTTGATTCACTTTTGTGTCTAGCCTTCACCCACACCCCTTGACATTCTCACAGACGTGTCTCTATCTGCTGCCCATAAACACCTATTGAGAAAGGTGCTAGAAGCAAAGCTTGACTCCTCCAAACTACAGCTAAACACATTGCTGGAGGTAGGGAGCCTCCTTCCCAATAAAAAAGAAATTAGACATCAATACAGTGCTTTATTTATCACTGTAGATAACTTAAAATCACAGTGAAAACTAGCCCAGTACAGTAGCTAGCTTTGTTCTAGGGCATGCATTTGCATGTGCAAGCTGTAGTTGTCCCGTGTGGAATTTTGTAAGTGAAGAATTTATTTGTTCTGTTTTTTTTAAACCACACCCTTGTTTCTGGTGCAGTTTTACATTGTCTATTATCCCATCAGGTGGGTCTTCCTCCTACAGCAACACAACAGTACACACCCCGGATTACTGCTGACATAAAATCACTTGTCAAAATACCTTTCTCCAGGCACCAGATTACTAATTCCATCTTTGCAAAGTAATGGCCTTTGTTTCATCTGGGACTAGATAACTGCTTCCCCTAGAGATAGAATGCTTTTAGTAAAATAAATAAATAAATGCAGGTATCATTTGCTCTTTTTAAAGTCCCCTTCCATAACAAGGCTACCTTACAGGTGAATGACACACATTAAACTTTATTTTTCAAGGGATTTTTTTGGGGGGAGAGGGTTAAAGAACATCTGCCAAGCCCTGAGTCAGCAGCAGACTAAAGCTTTAGTAGCCTTTGGCCCTCAGCAATCTGTCTCCCAGGAGGAGAATCCAAGAGCCCATTTCCTCAACAATTGATACCTCAGTCTATTTGGGTGGGATGCTCAGGGCTTGGCTCTCTAGGACAGAAGTCCAAGGCCAAGGTGAAGTCTGAAGGTTAAATCTGCCAAACTTCACATCAAGATCACCCTTGGGCGGGTTAAGTGGATAAACAAACAACCATCATTGGAAAGAAAAAGAACTGGCCGGAGTTTTTTTTTTTGGAGGGGGAAAAAACAATGCAAAATGAGAGTCTAATGGTTCACGACCACATCCAAGATAACTAAAGGCCCCAGTTTCTCTGTTCTCTTTCTGGTCCCCCAACAACCTTCCCAGACACCACAAAGGCACTGAGCTACCAGCCCCACTCCCCTGATGCTGAAACACTGTAGCAGAGAAAGGGTAAGGGACGGAGACGACCATTTCATAAGAAGGTCACAGCATTTGGCCAATGCTCTCACTGAGCGTCGTCAGATTTATGATGAGCCTTACAAGGAGACCTTTTCAACCACTAAGGAATACCCCGACTACAGACTAAAGCCAAAATATATTCCTGTAGGTTAGAACGCTGCCTTCCATCCAACCCCCCCCCCCCCCCGGTCCAAAACACCTGCCTACAGACTGGTTAGGTCAAAATACCCATCAGCCAGGTGGAATTCATACAACCTCCGAGGTACCCGGGCCCCCAACGACCTCTCCAATGGGAAGAAAAGAAGCCATTCGTCATTTCTCTCTCGGGATCAAGAGTTTCAGCAGTCCCGGCTCCTTCGGATACTTGGGAAGGAAGGCTCCCAAGAGGCAGCCCCGCGCCAGCCCTGTGGGCCCGGGGGACCCAGAGACACCCCAGCAGCTGCCCAGATGGCCCAGCGTTACCTGAATCTGTCACGAGTCCCTTCTCACCCCCTTCTGCGTGATGACATCAGGTGGAAGCGGTCCGCGTCCGGGAGGCACAATTCAGTCCGAGCTTTGTTCAGCCTGCGGCGGAACGCACGCAGTCGGGTTAGACGCGCGCAGCGCCCAAAGGAACCCAAGAACCCCGCGGGGCGCGCCGGCGAGGCCGGAGAGGGTGTCCCGAGATGGGGGTGGGGGGAGAGACCGGGACGAGCGGGGACGGCGGGACGAGGAGGGGGCGTAACGCCGCAAATCGTCGGCCTGGGATGTCGACCCACCCCCCCCCCCGATCCCTCCCCTCCGCAGTCTCCCCCTCTCCCCCCCCCAAGTTCCCCGGCGGCGGCGACGGCGGGCGACCGACCGTCATCCCTCGGAAAGCTAGGAACCCGGGAGGGAGGAGAAGACCATCTTGGGGCAGCGACGCGACACTGGGTGAACCCGGTCTTCAGGGAATGCGGGGCGCCACCCGCCCAGACACACGCGCCCCGGCGCCGCAGCCACCCGCACCTTCGCGATCGCCCCCGTCGGCCCCCTCACCAAGTCGCGGTCTCGGTCTCCACTCTTCCCCTCCCCCAAACGGCGCGGCGCCGCCGGACTTGGGGACCCCCTCCACCACACCCCTACTCCAGAAGGGATCGGGGCGCGCCGCCGCCGCCCCGGCAGCACCCCACGAATCCAGGCTGCTTTGTCCTGCCTCTGCCCTTCCACAGCCAGCGCCCCCCTCCCCCGGCGCGCGCGTCCGCACCAAAGACCCCCCCCAACCTGGCCCGCCGCTGCGCCCTCTTTTCGCAGGGAAGGGACACCCCCCCGGGGCAACTTCTAAGGGTGGAAGAAAGCGCCCTAAAGGGGGCTGGCGAGGCGGCCGGCAAGGGCGTGAGCGGGCTGGGGGCGCAGGCGCGCGCGCGGTGCACCCCCTGAGCGCAGGCGCGCGCGCGTGGCGCGGGCCCGAGGCGGGCTCCCCGGGACCCGAGCTCCCCGGGGGCATCCGAGGACTCGGCGGAGCCTCCAGCCGCGCGCCCAACTCCGCCAGCGCCGGGGGACGGGAGCAACTCTGGGGACCCCCCGGACCGCGCCCTCCCTTCCTCGGAGACCCAGAGGCCCCACCACCCCGCGCACGGGGCGAACGCGCCCCCCAAACCCTGGGCGCCAACTGCCCTCTCGCGCTTCCCTGGCTGCAGTGGCCGCATGGGTGCGGACACCCTTCCCGCACCCCGGATCCCGGAGGGCGCGGAGCTGGAGGGACAGCCCCGAACTCACTGACCTTCCTCCGCGCGGGCTCGGGCGCGCTACGCGGGCGGCAGCATCGCCGCGGGGTCCCGGGGCGCCCGCTCCTCCCGCCTCGGACTGCGGGGCGGCGCCGGCGTGCGCCTGCAACCCCGTTCCCCGCCTGGCGCTCCGGGGTCGCCCCCACCTGCCGAGCCACCCTCCGCGCCCCGGATCGGACGCGGCCCGCCGGGCGCTGGGCACCGAGCGCGAGCGTTCGGCGTCGCCGCCCGCCGAGACCGAGGCACCGAGGGGGGGCGGGGGCGGGAGGCCGGGCTCGCCGCTCGCGGCCCCGCCCCGCCCCGGCGGCTCCACCCCCCTCCCCGCCGCCCGTCCCGCACGTCAGTCTGTCCGTCCCGACTCGCCCAACTCCCCCGGGATGCGGGGCGCACCTTTGGGCCGCCCCCCTCCCCCAGCACACACACCGGCCCAGTTGCCGACCCTGGGCCCGCACCTGGAGATTGGTTTGCCCCCGCGCGGTGGTCAGAGCAGAGCTGAATCAGGTGTGAAAGGAGGCGGCGCGAAGGCGGCCAAGGGCCGACGAGGAGTGGGGGACACCGCCCCGCGGGCTGACACTTTCTGGCTGCCCTTAAAAGTTCCTGTGGTCCCTCCAGGCAGATGCTACTTTCCCCCAGAGGCCTGGACGATGCCTCCGAAGAGGCCCCGCGCCCAGGGAGGATGGGGACGCAGATGCTGGGGCTCCCGTGGGGGACCTCCGAGTCCACCCGGCTCCTCGCCCTAAAACCCAGCCTTCGGCCTGAGGCTAAAGAGCAGGGGGTCCAGTGCGTGGCTAGCATGAGTGAGTCCCTCGCCAGCACCGCCAAAGCAAGGCAAAAAAATCTAACACCCACCCTAGGGGCTTGCTTCGAACGTCTCCTTCCTCCACAGTGAAATCTAAAGGCAAAAGGGCTTTGCGTCCCCGGGCGGCTGCAGAGGGGAATGGACGGAAAAACACCTACAAAATGGAACTTGTACGCAGGATCACTGGTGGCTCTCCCTGTCATCGTAGCTACACGGAGGGCTGAAATGGAGGGTAGAGATGCCAGCCAGCCCCAGCAGGCAAGGCCCAGAGACTCTTATCGCAGTTCACCAGTAAAAAGCCAGAAGTGGAGGTGTGGCTCAAATGGTAGAATGCCAACCTTGAGTGGCAAAAGCTAAGACGCAGCACGCAAACACCAACACACACACACCACCACCACCACCACCACCACCACCACACAATATAACTTACACAGCTGAACCTTCCAACTCTCTTGGGTCCTGAGTAACAAAATTCAGGCGGCTCTGAACTGGCGAAGCAGAGGGCCTCATCTAGCCGCTCAGGCTGAGCTGACTTCATGCCCGAGGCTGCATCCCCTCCCTCCTCCACGTAGCTTCTGTCCTGATAATAACAAGCAAAGGAAGATCTAAAGCTCATAATGCTTTCAGCTGGCTGGCCTTGTCTTGTTCCACAAATACAACCTGTTGATGACCTGACATTAATCAACTATAAAAAATAGATCTCTGGGATCCGACTTCAAGCATGGTATTGTACAGCCACCCGGCTGAGCCTGGTTCCACTATGCCCTAAGGTATAATCTATGTTGTATACCAAGAAAAAGAAGCAAGAATGCCAAGATGTCCCTGTGTATTAGAAGCCTAAGGTAACTTTGCAGAGGCTTATCTTGCGCTTCAGCTTGTAGGCAGAAGAAAAAAAAAAACTGCCCTGGTACAGGGACTTGAACTCAGGGCCTGAGTTCATCCAAGGCTGGCACTTTATCTTTGAGCCACAGCTCTACTTCCAGCTTTCTGCTGATTCATTGATATAATAAGTGTCTTGAGGATGTGTCTGCCTGGGCTGGTTTCAAACCTCAATCCTTACATCTCAGCCTCCTGAGAAGCTAGGCCTGAGCCACCAGCACCTGACTCAAAAAAACAAATTATGAGAAGCTAATGAGGATATTGACAACTCAGAAGCTGGCCAGAGCTTAGACTAACACAGGTGAGGTTTGTTGTTTTGGTTTGGTTTGGTTTGGGCTAGTCAGTCCTGGGTCTTGAACTCAGGGCGTGGGCACTGTCCCTGTCTCTTTTGCTCAAGGCTAGTATTCTATCACTTGAGTCACAGCGCCATTTCTGGCTGTTTTTGTGTATGTGGTACTAAGGAATCAAACCCAGGGCTTCATGCATGCTAGGCAAGCACTCACTCTACCTGTAGGCCACATTCTCAGCCCAACAGGTGAGTTATTATAACATCTCAAGATCTTACCAGGAAAGCTTAAAAAGTTTAGTCTAGACATAGTAATATGATGCAAGAGTGACTTTCCAAATTGGTTTTATGAAGCTAATGTCAGGACACAGCAGTGATTCCAAAGTGCTTCAACTCCTTTTTCATTTACTTTCAAGATGCGAGCATTTAGTGTGTGTGGCGGGAATGCTCCCACCTCATTCATACCCACTGGCTGCTGGGTTCATTCACAGAGCATCATGGGTGTTCTGCCTTCTGTCCAGTCTTGTAAAGCTGTCACACAGAGAAGGTTAATTAACTGGGACAGTCTGAGATGAGCCAGTTCTTAAGACAAGTTGGAGGCCAGCACCCGGGCAGGCAGGAGCAGTGAGAGTCAGGGGAAGAGCGGGCAAGAACATGCCGTAACAGATTCCTGCGTGAGAAAGCCCCAGGAACAAAGCCGCGAGGCCAGTCCATGTTGAGTGGTAAGTGGTATGATCAGAGGCTCTTCCATCCTGCCAGAACCAAAGCCCTGCACAAGACCATATCCCGGGTCTGGATGAACTAGGCTCATGAGGACGGGGCCCCAGCACTGGAGAGAAGTTTCAAAATATTCAAGCCAGGCATCAGTGGCTCATGCCTGTAATCCTAGCTACTCAGGAAATTGAAATCTGAGAATGTCAGTTCAAAGCCAGCCTGGGCAGGCAAGTTCTTGACACTCTTATCTCCAATTACCCACCCAGAAAGCCAGAAATGAAGCTGTGGCTCAAGTGGTAGAGCACTAACCTTGAGCAAAAAAGCTCAAGGACAGCACCCAGGCCCTGAGTTCAAGCCCCAAGACCAGAAAAAAAAAATCAAATATTCATGGCTTCATATGATCAACATTTATTGAGTACAGACTAGATACCCATAGTGTTAAAACAGAAGAAAAGACACAGCAGTTCCTGCGCTCATAGAACTCGCCTTCCAATGGAGATGATAAGCAGCCTCAGAAATAAATAATGTTGGAGAAGGAAAGAGAGGAAGGGAATAAAACAGGGAAGGGAGAGCGTTTTAGACAGGTGGCCAGGAAGGCTAATCAGGTGCCTTTGGACCTGAGAGCTAAACGAAGGTAGGGCAGCGCACAAGGCCAGGAAATGAGTCCCATTATCAGCAACAGTTCAAGAAGAGGTCTAGCCTTGGCCTTGGGCAAAGGTCAGAACCCAGGAACTGGATCCCACAAGAATGGACGCTGAGTCCGAGGAGACTGAAGCAGGACTGAGTTCTTATTCATCTGTGTACCTGCTGCACTAGCACTGAGGCCCAGTGCTGTTGACTGGGCTGATCTGGGAGATAAATATAATCTCATAATGCCTGTGACGTCCTTCTATCGGGGACGACACTTTCACAGAAGAATGTGAGGATCTGTTTGATAGCTTTTGTCATTGTCTTCTGGGTTTGTTCACCTCTGTGCTCAGCACCTAATACACTGAGGAGAGAGAAGGGCAGGGAAGGAAGAAGGAAGACCGAGAGAGAGGATTGGGAGAAACCAACCTTGGTCAGTGCTTGGACTTCTTCACATACAAATCCAGCCCAATATGGAAGGCAGACTTTCTATTCTCCAGCTTGTTGTTGTCTTTTGCAAGGTTACTTCCTCTTCCTTTGCTTGATATCCTAAAATCTAGAGAGAAGCTACACCTACACTATTATGATGTTAACTGCTCAACCAATTGGTAAATCCTAGCATGCTGGAAGAATCTACTGGAAACAAGTTTTGAGGCCAGCCTGAACTCCACATCGAAACTCCTTCTCCACAAAGGAAAACAACAAAACAAGTTGTTAGCTGCCAAATAATCTTCCTTTACATTTACAGAACCTAGAACATCTGGCTGCTTTCTGAAAACATCTGAATGTATAATGCCTCTCCTTATTTGCTTCTTCTTATTTTTTAATTCTGTGCAACAATGAACACAACACATATAAACTGCTGTGATGTTTAACTTAGAGAGACAAAATATGTTTGTAACTAGCCCCAAGAGATCAAGGGTGATTGCATTGTTCAGGCCAGGGAAAATAAAATAAAAGAGAAGACAATATACATATTTTCATGACAAGACACCACTCAGCTTGAAGCCTTTCTGTTTTGCTCCTTGCTTCTCCTTTACTCCCCAGTGAAATGCTCTGTACCCCGAGTTTCCTAAGATAGGGCTCTATGGCAACAGCTCCCCACCTTCCTCCTTGTCACCCCTTGCCACCAACCCTTGTCTCTAGAGTATTTTGGCTTTCAGTGACAAGCAGCTGGACTGGGTACCATGCCAAATGTTTGAATTTTCCATGTTAAAACTTCATTTCATAACTGAATGGTGGTGATATTTGCGCAGTTTGGTACATCTACTGAGAACCAATATATCTACACTTAAGTGGGTTTATGGTGTATAAATTATACCTCAATAAGGTTGCTTAAGGACATTACAGTGGAAGCCAGGCTCCTACTGTAATCCTAGTTACAGAAAGGCTGAGATCTGAGGATCATGGTTTGAAACTAGAAGGGGCAGAAAAAAAAAACCCACGAGAATCCTATCTCTAAATTAACCTGTAAAAATGCCAGAAATGGAGCTGTGGCTCCACTTGAGTGGGAAAAAAATGCCTGAGTTCAAGCCCCAGTACACACTAAGAAAAAAAAATAGAGTTGGACTCTACATTTAAGCATTTTCCATGCTATCAATGAAAACATGGAAATATCCTTAACCAAAATTATTGTCACCCTTTGCAATAGCTGTTTAAACAGAATTGGTCTAAAATTTTACTTTGCCTTTATATGATACTTGCTACCTTAAAATACAAGTCGTCTGAAATCATACATCCTCTGATAAAATGAACCAATGATGACTGCTAA